TGTCGACTTGAATGATTGCGCAATTAAAATAATGAAAAAGTGCTCATGTCTACTCGCTTGCACCAGTCTGTCAAGTTGCGCAAAAAACACTCCACAGACGCTACAGAATACATGCGCAAGTCGCAGGTTGCGCAAGTATACAGTTACGTCTGTGGCCGGCTTTAGATACTCTAAACCAGATTATTTAATGTAACGTGCAAGAATTATTTGTGAGAATGTACCAAATTTTTATTTTATAAAATTTTATTGCTCAACAGATTGGCCCTATCAATTAAAGAAATACTCTCTCAAATTCAAAATCTTTCACAACGGCATCAATTAAAATCGCTTTGCAAATAACAAATAATCATTGTTATGCAATTCTGTGCAAATAATAATCTCCAAAAGAATTGTGCAAAATATTAATAGTTTTAAATTCGATTTTGTACAAAATTTATCCTTTTACCAAATAGATTGCGAATAACGAATAAAATTATTTTGTTGGTCATTATGAAAGAAAACGTGTTTTAGGAATTTAAACTCGGAAAATATAAAGATACTAGCTGACCCGGCAAACGTTGTTTTGCTAATATTCTAAACAATTTCTAGAGAATCAAAATATTAATACTTTAAGTGTATAAGGATTAAGTGTTGTTTGAATGCTATATACATGAGGTATTATAAAAACAATAAACCCCATCAGTTTGTCTATATTTTGTGATACAATCAAACTGGAAGTTTTATACACTTTCTATACAAAACATGGTATAATCCGATCCAAGTCTTTTAGGTCTTTCGACTTATTGCTTACATTTCAAGTTTTCACATTCTTTTGGATTTTGGATTTTGTGTATAATTATTAATACAAAATTAATGATTTCATACAAATATCGACACATTACTTGCTAATTTAATTAAAATTTCTTATTTAAAGTACTCGACTTTACCTAAATAATAATTCTTGTATCTTGTTTTCTTGAATGTAATATATTACACTTTTCCAACTTTATTATAATTTTGATACAAGTCCATCAAAAATTCGAAATTTAAACCATTCATTTGTAACTTCTAGGGTGTTGAATTAAATTAAAAGTAAATAAGAAGAATGGTAACATTTTTGAAAAACATCTATTTCATTTTATACAAAATCGACAAATTCAGTTTTGAATTTGTTAGTAATTATATTACACATTTTTAGAAAAGGGAAATTTTATTTAACACGTAGAAAATAATATTATCTATCCATTAGTTTATTTAATCTATGATTTTATCCATGACATTTACTTTCAACGACATTTAATTGTCAACTGTCATTCGGTGTTTCTATTTTGATACAAGTATATTTAAATGCATTTACTTTGGAAAATTATTACGTGAATAATATAAATTTTTTAATCACCACAGAAAATTATTACGAAGTGGCAAATTAATTTTTAATATTAGCAAGCGATGACACATGGATGATGGAGAAAATTTATTTCTTGAAATGGGAATGTAATATTCATATACTTAGGTATTTATGTATATTTGTTTATACGTAT